ACTTATGTTTGTAAATCTATTTTTATGTTTGTATTATTTATAATTAAATATTATTTATTAGTCTACATAGAATTGCATACATAATTTAAATTCATTAAGAACAAAAATTCTAAAATTATATTTCTATACTTATTTAACATTTTCAATAAATAAATTTTTGTACTAATTTTACAATAAAGAACATACTAAAAAATTTATAAGTAAATTTTTATTGCTTTAAGTTTCTTTAAAACATAAACATTAGTAAGAGAAAATCCTAAAACTACTAGTTTCAAAAATAACAAAAATGATTAATATTTTTAGCAAATAAAAAATAAATAGATAAACAATTTTTATGTATACATAGATGATGGAGGCTCTACAAAGCATGTGACTTCTAATAAGAATATTCATTTGGTTCTTGCATAATAGTTTTGTTTGACACTTTCTAAAACAAAATTGTTACAATACAATAGTGATAAGGTCTATTCTTTGAAAGAATGATTAGAAGGATCGTGAAAAAAACAAACTAGATTTTAAAATGTATTCTACATATCCTAGAAAAAATCCAATTTGATATTAGTATAAAAACTAGTGTTGAAATGTCATTTGATAAAAACAGGAAATAAAAAATATTTGCACTTAGAAGACATTAACATATTTACATGCACAAGAAATATATATAATATATTTTTAGATATAATATATTTATTTATTAACATTCTTGGAAAATTTAACAAAGAATATTTGGATTTAGTTGTTTAAGAAAAAAACAATTAATTTTGAAAATTTTAAATTAATTAAATAAATAAAATTGAAAAGAAATTTTGATCATACTAGATATAAAAATGGAAGTGAATTTGTGACTAAGAAATTTTTATAGTTTATTAATGAAATATAAAACTACTAATAAAGCTTTAGTATCTTCTTATCTAAACAAATTCAATATATTTGAGTGTAATTGCATTATTATATAATGGAATAATTTTTTAATTCTAAATTTTTGCAAAGCTTTTGGTACTATTAATGTGTAATAATAAAAGCTATTGTAAAATAAGATTGTAGAAATTAATGCATATAGAGAAATATAATTATATATTTAAAGAATAAACATTTATGTACATATAAATTTTAGAATATAAAGTATACTAATGAATGTTTGGAAATGCATCTAAGTTGGAATTATAGTATTTTTTCATAAAATATCAAATGTATCAATCAATAATAAAGATAAATAAAATTTATCAAGAAATGTATATTAAATATAATACAATTATTGTTTAATAAAAAATAAGCAATAAGATTGTAATGATGTCAAGTGAAGATAAGCATATATATAAGACAATTAAATTTTTATATAAGTATTGATATTCTATGAAAGAAAACTAACTAATTTAAAGTGATAAAAAGTATATATACTTAAATGAAATAAAGAATGCAATTTTTTTTTGTTTTGTTTTGTTTTGTTTTTTTTTTTTTTTTTCATTAACTATTAAGTTGTTTTTAAAATTTTCCAAGTTTTAGATACAATAAAAAAAAAATAAAAATAAAGGATAAAGAAGAAAATGCAGCATTTTTTCAAAAGGATAAAAATAAATTTAATTAATTAAGAATCTATTCTACAATTTCACTGGTTCTTATTGCTCATGTTTTTTCATTAAAAAAACTGATAGAAACTATGATGTTACAAAAATTATCGACTGAAGGCATATCAAATCGATATGAAAATGACAACAAATTATTATGTAATAAAGGTTGCTGAATAGTTAAATAATTAAATAAAAACTATGAAAAGATTGAAGACTTGGGCAAATAATAGAAAAGTTACATAAAAAGTAGTTTCAAATTTATGTATGTAAGTAGAGTTGTATTAAAATTTGATCACATATACACATAATTGTTGATTTATTAAATGGAGTACTTGAGTTTTTAGACTTCTTATACATTGTCTATATAATATCTTAAATGTCTTTTAAATAGGGCTTAGACTACACCTTTGTGGCAATGCATTTTAAAAACAAACTCTTCTCTGGATAATATATAATATGAGACAAATCATTGATATAATATATATGTATATAAATGTATATTAAGAAGATATAATTACAAGTTATATATACAAACATTTCCACCTTAACTTGATTTTTGCATGAATAAGTAGAACTAACCATTTTTATATTTTACACTACTCTTAATGGGTGTTCTTCAATTAAATACATCTCACACTCAATGCATTCAAGATAGTACACTCATATGAAATTCTTTTGAAACAAAAAAAATTCTTACTTTAATATTTTTTTATATCTTCATTGAATATACTTATATAATATATTTTCTTATATACAGCATTGTATACATTGATTGGACAAAACAAAATGTATTACCTATGTATTTTTAAATTTTATTGTAGTCATTCTCCCTTGAATATTGTGATTGAGATTAGTATCTAAACAATTGGGCAATGTGTACATTCACACACTGTAGAAATGTGCATAGATATGTACATGTAGTTGTAGATGACAATAAATGCTTCCTCTCTTTCTCTATAAGAACACACGAAATGGAATAAAATAAAATCAATCATAGGCAAATTATTGTTATTCTTATCCATTTTCCTTGTAGCAGCAAAGTAAAAAGCCAATCTTTTATTTTTATTTTTATTTTTTTACATTTCATTTTGTCTGGTTCTCAATTTCTGCTCCACTTTTTTAGAATTGTATGTAACAAGGAATAGTTTCAGTTTTCCACAAATAATTAATGGTCAACAAACAATTTAACGATCTTGTGTTGTTAGTTTGAACTTCTAACATGTGGATGTATACATATGTATGGGGTAGAGAGAGAATAGAATAGAAAAAAATAGCACATTGGTTCACATACTATAGATCTCTCTCCACACTTTCTCACTCTTTAATGGCTGAAATGACATGCAAAACCTAATTTGCTTCAACTATATGCACAACCAACTAGTGGGGTCTTCGTTTTCATGAAATATATATATAAAATTTTTAAAAAAATGGATGGATGAATGGTGAACTTCAGGATGTACATATCATTGTGGATGATGATGGAGTGATGGTTGAGAATACAAAAGCTCATGACATCCAAAACCAACCCAGGAATTCGGGTTCTGATTATGGGGTCGGAATTAGGGTTCACTAGAATCATGGAGCATGGAAGTGGATATACACAAATAGAGATAAAGAGATAAATAGCGGGTGAGTGAGTTGTGAATGGGATAAGGTGAGTACTAACAATGGCCCATTCATTATATATTTTGGTAAGGCTTGGCTATCCACTAAGTTTTAGGGAAGGAGGTTGAAATGAATTTATATATATATATATATATATATATCTCTGCCTTGTCACCTGTGACACCGTCCCCATACTATATAGCCCACATTCTAATCCCAGCCTCATTAAAATCCTCCCCTGATTATTATGTATAATCCACCAAATATACAATAGTAAATGCACTTCGCATATTTACATTTACCCACATTTATTAGGGTTTGATTCCATGCAATTTGAATGCTCATTCTTTTACTTAATAATAATAAATACAACTCAATGAATGGAATGGAATGTGCATGAGGAGAGCAAGAGGGTCCTTGTGTTGCAGTCATTTGGATCCCTAGTTAAGCAAGTGAAGTTGAGTGGGTGTCAATCTTTCCTTCTCAATGAGTTCAAAATTCTATCCCCACAATACAAACAAAGCTTGTGTGATGTGCACACACAAACCACCAATTACCCACAACCATCACTTAAGGAAGAAGAAGAAGGAAGAAGGGCAACATGAGATAAAAAAGCAAGTGCTTCTTGTGTGAGTGGTGAACACAGGACTTGTGTATGAGCAACCCCACCAACACATTATATATATACATATATATATATATATAGCACAAAAAGAAAACAAAAAGATGCAACATGTGTTTATTCTTATTATTCAATGCTATTATTATAACAATTACTATTAATATGTTATAATTAAAATGTGTTGTGGGTAAGATTAGGTGACAATGCAATGATGTAAAAGGGAGTCATTGAAAAGAAAAGTGACCCCGGGTGAAATATCTTTCCCCATTGTGTTGGATCCATGCGTGCCCCCATTGATTGAGTGATAAATATATTTTATGATTCTCCAGAGCTGACGTGGACCCACTTAGTGGCTTGCTTCATTGGACTCCAGATATTTATATATTTATATTTTACTTATTATGGTCATGCTGTTACTACCACTGTCTTGTTCTGGGTTTTCCCAGGCCCTCTTTATGGCATAATACAATATTGATCCCCCCCCCCTCTTCATCCCTTGCATGAAGTTTATCAAATGCCTTTCCATGGACTGTGAATCAATCCATTGTGTTTTCAATCTGAGCATGGCTTTGGCATTCATTCATTTTCAAACAAAGTTTCCTTTGCAAGAAAAAGAAGAAAAAAAATTGTTTGAAGAATGGATGTACGAAAAACACACACACACACACACAGAACATATGAGTAATGTGAAGGTTCGTATGCAAAAAGTCTAGATTCAGAACTTGAAATCATGTTATATCAATGCATGAACGATTATGTTCAGGAGACAATGTCGTTCATGTCTTAATATGCAATGTAAGAAAAAATATCTAAAAAGAAGGAGCCAAAAAAAAGAAGAAAGAAATATGAAGGCAAAACCCCTTTTCCTTTCAAATTTTAAGATATGCAATGACTATATAAAATTGAATCAGGAGCAACAACAGAACCATCCACCCATCCGTACATCCATCCGTCCCCACACCCACCCGTCCATCCGCCCACCCGTCCATCCGTCCATCCATCCGTCGTCCGCTTACGCACTGAACGAATGAACAGATACGAGTAGTCCCGGATAATCTACGAGTCCACGAATAATCAGCCCGCGCCAAGTGGACACATCTGGACCTCCACGATGGACTCCATCTCATCCATTCAGTAGTCGCAAGTGAGCACCTATAATTCATTCATCTATCGAAGAGAGGAATGAACGCGGAGGGCGAGGCTGGGCGAGTTAGGGTTAGGCAGCGCGTTCACATCGCCTCGTCGTCCTCCCTTCGCAACGCCTTCCTACACGGGGGGACGGGGATGGAGAGGGAGTCTGATTGCGTGGCTTCTGTTTGTCCCTGGCTATGGCTGAGGTCGTCTGATACTGGACGAGCGACAGAGTCACATTCAGACAGAATGAGAGAGTGAGAGAATGGGAGAATGCCATGGCCGGATCGGTATCTGATAGCCAAGTCGCGATGGAGGCTTCTTCTTCCCGAGCCTTTGTTCATGGTGGTTGTAGCAGCAAGTGTTTGTAGGGTAGGACGGACGGACCGGGAGTTTTCTCCTCTCTCTTTCTGTCTCTCTTGGAGTGTGCTCTGATCGTGTGTTTGTGCGTGTTTTTTTCTTCTCCTTTTTGACTTGGGTTTGACTTGCTAATTGGACGCCACGAGTGCAGACACGGTATGCGAGCACCATTTGACTGATCTTCTTTTGATTGTTTTGTAGGAGGTGGCGATGACGGTGTGCTGGTGGGGGCGAAGTAAGGGGGAGAGGTCTTGTGGCGGATTGGATTGGAATGGAATGAAATGGAGCACTAGGTTGGCCAATTGAAAGGATAGAGGTCTGAAAGACAAGCCGCTATGGGAATCGGCTGCTGCGGAGAGTAGACAGAGGAGGAGGAGGAGGTCGATAGCTTCTAGCGGTTGCGGTGTGAACGGATGATTGAAAGGTGGCAGACAGCTTAATATACTTCCTCTTCTTCTTCTTCTTCCTCTTCTCTCTCTCTCTTTTTTTTTTTTGTTTTTTGTTTTTTTGTTTTTTGAACTTGGCTACGCTTCGAGGAAGCAAGGGAGAGAGAGAGTCAGGGGAGGGTGTGAACAAGCGGAGATGTGTTTCAGGAAGATGTGCATGTGTTGGCTAACTTTGAGTCACGCTCAGATCTCGCCGTTGACGGTAATCGAGCAGAAGTAGTGTTGAGTACGGAGGAAGCATTTCAGAAAAAAATTGCTTGAGAGGTTAGAGAACGTTTTATCTGTAGATTTGAGATGATATCGGATGGAGAGTTTTTAACATTTTCACGAGAGGAGGATGTGTGTGGATTGGGTTGTCCCCGGCTTCGTGTTAAAGTTTTATGGTTATGAAACCAAAGTGAACGGTGCACCAAAGTGTGCAGTTGGTTGAATGTACTAGCCAGAATATACGTTTATACGTCATAACCGAGGTGAAAGAATCAGTTCGCCTTCAGCATAATCATCATTATACGGCTATTAGCCAGATAGTAGTTGGTATCGTGGTTTTTGGTCGATGAATTGTTGAAGTACAGCATCAATGCCGTGCTTGAACTTATCGAGTTAACTTTGGTACGAACGCATCAAGGCCAGGGTCTAGCAAGTTTCCCCTGGAACACTTGGAGGGCAGGAGAGGCGAGGGAATTTTTAACGTGCTCTCCGCCCCTCCGCTGTGATGTAACGGTTGTCTGTCGTTGAAGTTGGTGATCGCCGTAGATGTAACGTAATCGTGGTTTTCTACTGACCGGAGACGAAGGAAACGAGGAACAGACCTGCAGAATGATAATTAACACAGCTATTATTGAGTGATGGTGCGTCATTTGGACGATCGCAAAGCATGGAATGTAGAATAGGGAATGAGGAGGTTTGGGAGTTTCCTCTTCGTACATTGGTTGGCTGGAAGAGTAGGTATGGAGAGCAGATGAGGAGATTGTCGTAGTACGATTTGAGGTCAGGCAGATTGACGAGTAGGAGGGAGACTTCGTAGGTGATTCGATATTTAAATTACATGAAGCCCTCAATATGTCGCCTATCTTTCAAACCCTTCACCAAATTCAGCGCAACAGTTGTTTTGACTTTGATATATCAGTTTAATCTGTTTTGCTTTCTTGAAGCCAATGCTTTTCGACTCAGTTTCTTGCGATGAGCGTCGTCTGTCCTTCTCTTGTCTCTGCTTCTTATTGAATTTTTATTTATCTTGCTTTGGACTATGTAGTCTTATTCGCAAGTTGCTAATTTCATTTGTCTTTTGTTTTGTGTTATGGCTTTACTTGCTATGTCTGAAGTAGTCTCTAACAATCTTTCCTCGGATTATGTCGATCATTGGAAGTCTTATGTATTTATTTATTTCAATTTATTTTTATAGTTTTTTAGTCTTTGGTTTTTTTGTGGGGTTTATTTGATTTATCGTTATTATTTCGTTGTCTTTGCGGGTTACTCCTGTACAGCATGTGTTACAAAAGAATGAATTAGATGGAACATCTGCACGAGTTTCTTCAGAAAGGTTAGTACGCACTTGTTCATGACACGTGGTTAAACTTGGCGGCTATCGAGGCGTTTTGATCGTGTATTGTTCCGTACATGCTGTTGCTTGGCGAGGAAATATTTTGATACCAGCGAGTGTGGATCACTGTGAGGGAGCTGATTTGTGCTGATACAACAACCTCTATATCTTGCAGTCTCTTCTCCTTTGGAATCAGGCGGGAGCGTCGACAAGTACCTTGCGCATGTAGTACAGCTGTACAATTTTCTTGAGGCCGCGGGATGGAAGTAGCGTATACAGGACTAGTTTCAAGGGTTGGGTGGTAATTTTAGCCGGTGATTGGAATCTTCGGCGCCGTCCAATGGGGCCGTTTGGGAGATTGGCGGTTGGTTCAATCGCTAGTCAGGATGATGGAAAGAACAAAGATGCCATTTGTAAGGAAGGGAATAGGAGCAAGAAACAAGCCGACGAGACCAAGGTATGCATGGAAGCAGAACAGCATGTTATTGTGAAAGCTTTGAAGAAGGATACGGGCGAGAAACGGAACTCGTCGAGGCTATTTAGCTGGAACAAAAATGACTCTTCCAGCAAAGGAAATGCTGAAAAGGTCGAGAGGGGTAGGCGTTTATCATCTCCAGGGAAGGTTCAGACCACCTCAAATGATCTCAAGCCTGAGTCATCCTCCTTTCTGAGCAGTGAATTTGGTTTCGCGTTGGGCCTTACTAAAATCAAGACGCGGTCTGGACCTCTGTACACCTCCAGCACTCGTTCTGGTCCGGTCTTTGCAGGTACCCTTCAGAGCCGATTCATCATCGGAAATGAAAAAAGGGAGAATGTCTCCGTGAAAAGCAACTCAAAGCATGGTAGCTCATCTCGGTCTCCGATTGTTCGAAAACCTGCGAAAGCTGCTAAAATTCATGCACGTGACTCTGTCTCACCCAAGGACTCTTTCACAGAAAATGGTAGCAATTGTAGAATCCGAAGATGTTCGGAAGCGGAGTCGAGAGAAATAACGTCCAGCGGCAACACAGAAGAGACTTCTGGGTCCTCGTTCCTTTCGGTTTCAAAATTGGACTTGGGAAGTGAAAAAATTCCAGAGAGAAGCTTGTTGGCAACAAGTCAAATATCCGAAGATATGTTGTTGAGTGGAAGTACGAGGAATGAAAAAGCCTTAATTGGCCAGGTCTCGCAGCCAGGGTCAGCTAGTAGTTGGGTAGATGTCGATAGCAATTTCGACTCCGGCTCAAGTGGAGGGCTTTCTATGTTAGAAAGCCTTGTAGGGTTTCAGCATGCTCGAAGCGTCCCTGCGGATAGGTTGTCGCTTCTTCAAGGTTCGATCGCGTTCCTTTTTCTTCATCGGCTGTTGTGATGTCAACAAATTGCGAATTGCTGTTGACATGCCTCAGAACGGAATAATCGCATGATGGGGCAGTGTTTGTTGTTGTGGTCGATATTCTGTTGCTTTAAGTTACGATTCGCGTGTGTTTACTCATAGGTTCTGTGAATTTTGAGTTTGCTGTGGTGAAATTTGACAGGGTACGGTGAACAGGTTTTGGTTTTGCATTTTGTGTTTTAATTATCATTCAATTGATAGTAATAATTTTCAGATTGTTTTTCTCTCATCGCTTACAGTGTTTTGTGTTGGTAAACTAGAGCCTTTTGTTGATAAATTACGATCTCATGGGCACTCTGAAATCGACGGAGAGGCGACGAGATGTTTTGATATAGCAATGCAAGAGAGTGAGGTATGCACATGTGCACATGCACAAGTCGATGCCTCTCTTTGAATAACGTCGCTTTTGGGAGGTGTCATGCCGTTGCTTTGTTTTAGAAATGTTCTTTGTTATCACTTTTCTTTTCACAAACAATTGGTTTGGTATAGAAGCCTTCCCATTTATGACTTTTTTTTTCGATGTCTTATCCCACTTAGTTCTAGATTATTTTCTCCACAGTTTAGTTAAGCCTTTGGTTGTTTGAGCGAAGCAGAGTCCGTTGAGTCAGCCCGACATTCCGAAGGAGATCGAGTCACCCAGATTCCAAGCGCTTCTGCGTATGACTGCCGGCCCTCGAAAAGGAAAATCAACCGACATCAAGAGCTTCTCGCATGAACTCGATCCTCGCGGTGTGAGATCTTATGAATTTCTGCGGCCTCGTGACCTTCTTGACTTGGAGGTATGCGATCCTTTGGTTTACGTGTAAACGTGGTTTTAGAAGAAGTCTCAGGAAATACAGTTTGAAACACAATGATCAATCATGCTTCTGTATATTCTGAATCGCAGGAGGTTATGGCAGCTCTTGGGGCACGCTTTCATACAGCTAAGGATGAAGTAAATGCGGAACTGGCAGTTTTTGCTGGCGACCTGGTGGGAGTACTTGAAGATACCACTGATATGGATCCTTATCATCAAGAGAGGATAGAAGATTTGCTAATTCTGGCTCGTGACTGTGCCTTTATGGATCCTCAAGTGTTTCGGAAGGAATGTGAAGCAATTGTGCAGGATTTGGATGACAAACGACAAGAACTTCCTATGGGCGTCCTGAAAAGGCTACATACGCGGATGCTTTTCATACTCACTCGTTGTACACGTCTCCTTCAGTTTGAAAAGGAGAACGGTTTAGATGAGGTTGAGCTTCACAGACTACAGCAGCAGGCAAAAACTGGCTCCTGCATAGAAAGCTGGAAAAAAATTATAAGTTGGAATGAGAAAGGAAAAGCACTTCTGAAGGTAGTCAGACCTCAAAGGCTCAGCTTATCTTCGAAGCCTCAGGAAAAATCGTCCAAAAGAGTCAGCGACGAAGTTTCGATTTCAGGAACTCCCACTTTTTCAGGTATTACAGAGCAGGCTGTAGAATCAGATAAAGAATCCATTTCAAAAGCATCAGGTGGTTCTGTAAGTCCAATTCATTCTGTCGTGGCTGACCGGCAAACAAGTTGGAAACATTTCTCTGTTGCTCCACCAAACGAACTGAAATCGCATGGGGGAGAATCGGATGTTGAGACTGAAATGGGTTCAGTTGTATATATAACACCGGAAAGCTCGCAGTTATGTGCTGATGGAGGAATGGTAATCAGCAGAACATCAGAGGAGGTCCAACGAATACCTTCCTCAAAGAGACACCAACGAGTTGCATGGGGTCATTGGACGGATCAGCCAGAGGTTTTAGATGACAACCTAGATTTCATTTGCAGGATTTGTGAAGATGAGGTTGCGACGTCATGTTTGGAGGACCATTCTAGAATCTGTGCCTTGGCTGACAGGTAGAGTCCTTAAATGTCTCTGTTACTTTTCTTTCGCTTTCATTTAGTACATTATGCTGAAGGTTTCAAGGTACCAAGGGGTTATTATAACATGCATCAAGTTTAGATAGTTCAAAGTTATGCTGAACATTTATTTGTTTTTTCAGATGTGATCAGCAAGGGCTTGATGTTGATGACCGTCTACGAAGAATAGCAGAAACACTAGAGAGAATGGCTGAATCTCTCACACCCAAAAGCTTCAGCTTGGCTGCTGGTGGTAGTCCTGACACTGCGAAAACGTCTGGCTCCAATAACGGGGGCTGTAGCTCAGATGGAGCCTTGTCGGAAAGATGCATAACGTATCCCACGTTTACCGATAAAGTTTGGGGTGAACTTTTAAGGAAAGGATCCGAAGAATTGTTGGAAGATACTTATGAGATCGATGCTGCCAGCATGGGCGATGATAATAAAAAAGCCAATTCAGTTACTTGTAAGACACGGTTCGGTCCTAAAATCGAACAATCATCTGTTCCAACTTCATCTCCTGGAAGTGCGCTCGCTCCAGCCTCATCCGCTGGAAGTCTGACTCCTCGCTCTCCACTTGCCACACCTCGCATAAGCCAGATTGACGTATTACTTTCAGATCGAAACGGCTTCAACGAGATTGATGATGCCTTACAGGTCCACAACTTGCATACTTTTCCGTTTTATAGACTTCATTTTTCATTTTGTTGTAGTGTCTTTTTCTGGCTTTGCTAAATCTTTTAGTCTTATATTATACTATTTGCGAAATTTACTGACTTGAAGTATTAACTGGAATTGCAGATAAACGAGATTGCAGATATAGCTAGATGCATTGCCGGTGCTTCGCCAGATGAAGATGGTACTGAGTATTTGCTGTCATGCTTGGAAGACGTGCAAGACATCTTACGGTACAACAAGGTGGAAGCATTAACTGTCGCTACTTTTGGCAAGCGAATAGAGAAGCTGTGCATGTAAGAATCCTTTTTCTTTTCTCGGTTTTGCAGTTTACCTGTTAATCATCAAGACGTTTGTATTGGAGAGCTGACTTCATGTACGAATTCGTACGTCTCCGCTTCGTCTGTAGAGGATGAAGGGATTAGAACGTTCGCTCGTTAAATAAGTGAGCGACGTTCTCTTCTTTAGTTGCATCTAGTTTGTCTTGCGAGCGGTGTTTTACACCCTCTCTTTTCTGATGAACATATGCTGAATTTTTGATAGCGTTTCTGCAGGGAGAAATATCATAAGTTCCTTGAAATCTTAGACCCGAATGGTGTGGAGGTTGCAAGCAGTGTAGGAGATGATGAGCTCTTGGAAGACGACACTTTTCATAGTTACAAGTCTACTCCTGTACACCCTTCGTATAAGGATCGCACCACGATAGATGATTTCGAAATCATAAAACCTATCAGCAGGGGTGCATTTGGACGGGTTTTTCTGGCCAGGAAACGCACAACTGGGGATCTTTTTGCTATCAAGGTGCTAGTCTTTACAGTAATTTACCCCTTGGTCCTTGCTGCGTTGTTGGTTATTTCTTTTGTTACTTTTCAGTTTCAAATAATTTTCTTGTTGTAGAACATCAAACATGTCATGATTGTCTACCTGATTCACTTTTGGAAGTTTTTGCAATTGAGTGGTTTGCAATACCCTTTCTCCAGATTCGTTGGTGCATTGTGTGTAAGATTCTCGTGAATTTATTTATCTAAATAATTTAGTGACACGTCTAATTTGCTACTTTCGATCTCTTTGTCCAAATTTTTATTATGCAGTAAAAGCATCTTATTTAGCTAAGCTTACTGTTGTGGGCCTCTGTTACGGACATTCCGTAGGTTCTTAAGAAAGCAGACATGATCCGTAAAAATGCCGTTGAAAGCGTTAAAGCGGAGCGTAACATCCTAATTTCTGCTCGCAATCCTTTTGTGGTATGGATCTGATGGCCTCGCCATTTCTAATTTTGTACATATTTATTTAACTCTCTTCGTGAAGTTTTAAGAAATGCTAACGGTTAATGTTGTTAAATGCCAGGTTCGATTCTTTTATTCCTTCACATGTGCAGAGAACCTGTACCTGGTGATGGAATATTTGAATGGTGGGGATATGTACTCCTTGTTGCGAACCCTTGGATGTCTTGATGAAGCTTTGGCACGTGTGTATATAGCCGAATTGGTAAGAACTCCTCTCCTTGGTAGCTGTGGTATCCTTGTAGCCGAATATGATGGTCATATTAGACTCGCACACATATCTCACTCATGATCTTCAATTTTACCATGCACTTTGGAGCATTGCTTAATACTCTCACACTTCATTTTTAGTGTATATACAAGTATTTTAACGTATAAATGAAGTTCCGATGTAATTTACTAGTCCTCTATTTTGCAACTAGTTTGGAAAAATGTTGTAGTTGAGCGTAACTGTTGTACAATAGGCACTTTTATGCAGTGAATCTGATGAGGATACTATATTCACATGTGTGAATTCAATGTAATGACCATATCATAGTGTGGATGTTTCATTGCCCGCGTAGTGATATTTACTTGTTGTCAATGTCTGAACCTGTGTTTCGTTCGAATTTTACCAGGTGTTAGCATTGGAATGTTTGCATTCCTTGGGAGTTGTTCACCGAGATCTCAAACCAGACAACATTTTGATTGCTCATGACGGGCACATTAAGGTACTGTATTAAATTCTATTACAGTAAAATTTTCTGCACAAGTCAGCTGTCTTTCTCATGGAACCATAGATTTAATGAAATTTTAAGTAAGTTAGAGGATACTTTCTTCAAAGAATTAACCTATATATCTGTTTTTGTTACCATTTCTGTAGCTAGAACAAGAGAACAAGAAATGCAAAGGGATCTTTCTGATGATTCATGCGCTCGATTGATTTATGTACTGAATTATTATTGGTTGATGATTTGTTTCTGTATGATCTGATTACGCAATCACTGCAAACACTGCGCAGCTCACAGATTTTGGTCTTTCGAGAGTAGGCCTTATCAACAGTACAGACGATTTATCAGGCCCTGCTGCAACTGGGACTATGGTTATGGAGGAGTCTACGAAAAACCAATGTGCTTCTCCTAAACACGAGCATCAGAGAAAGATTCGACAGCAGCGCTCGGCTGTGGGAACCCCTGACTACCTAGCTCCAGAGATTTTGCTTGGGACCTCCCATGGTAACTTCGCTTGAAGCTTCTACTCGGGACCAGTTTAATTGAAAATCTATCTGCCCGTTGGCGTGTTTGGTTTTTGAGTATTCTTTCCTGCGAAACGATAGAAGTGCTTGTAGTATCGGTTTGCTGTATTTTCACGGTGTGTTGGAAAGCGGTTGTCACTAAATAAGCATTTGATAATGACCTAACGTTTTTAGGATGTAGTTTCAGCATACAGCAAAATGACAATTTAGTGCACTTCTATAACTACTCAATATGCAGGTCCTGCTGCTGATTGGTGGTCTACCGGAGTAATTCTTTTTGAATTTCTAACTGGCATTCCTCCATTCAACGCTGAGCATCCTCAGGTACGTTTTTCCTACGCTTAAACTTTAAAAATTTAGAAATTATTTTTTGCAAGTATTTTCACATTTCGAACGGTTTAGGGTAAAAATCTCAACTTGGTTGTTTCTGTTCCGAATATGATTTTATGAGCATGCAATCAACCACCATGTTTGTTTGCGGGTCGTATTTAGTTGCTCTGATCGGTAATGGTTTATTTGTGCAGGTCGTTTTTGACAACATCCTGAACCGACATATCCCATGGCCTGCAGTCCCAGAGTATATGTCCTATGAGGCCCAAGATTTGATCGACAGGTGAGTACTTTCTGCATCAGTTACAATTGAAATATTGAAATTCATTTTTTTATCAAACGATTTAAATTGTTGATATCTAAATAATGAACTTTTTTTCAGACGTATGAGATCAACAACTTCAGAAGAAAATTAACTTTGTTTATGACTAAATGCATCAGTGATCGTTCTGAGTATTCTCTCCTTAGCAGCGAATTTTCCATAAGTAAAAGTCAGGGTGTTACTATGGTTTTTGTATGCTCCGGATGTTTGTGAATCTCATGTCTGGGTGTAATGCTGTTTCTTTCTGCAGACTGCTGACTGAGGACCCCACTGAACGCCTGGGCGCCAATGGAGCTGCAGAGGTATTCTAGTTTATAATATATATTTTTGTTTTTAATAGCTTTGATAATAGATATTATTCTCATTTCCTTTTTCATTTGAGGATTTGTTGAATACAGTGTCGATTCTTATTTGCGCGCAATTATAGTTGGAAATAATGTATAATTCAAAATAAGATTCATGCGAGGAATTTTAGTTTCGTGGAAGTTGGTGTGAAGTCTGCTCATCACATAGTAATGTTTGGTGAAGGACTCTTGGGCTAGTGGTGGGGTTAGTGCGTGTCTCAGTTGTAAGCTCGAACTGAATACTGCTTTGAACTTATATAAACATTCTATTATCTTGCAGGTGAAAGCTCATCCATTCTTCAAAGACATAAACTGGGAGACGCTTGCCAGACAGAAGGTAAGACTTGTTTCTCCGCTGCATTTGCTGCCTCGTCTGGCTTCTAAACTAGTTCTTTTGCCCTGCTTCACCTTTTTATCACATGTTTTAATTACTACACATCGAGATTGCCGAGCACAGGGTAACAACTTGGGTTTGAATTGCAGGCTGCATTTATTCCAAGCCCTGACGGTGCGCATGATACCAGCTATTTTTCATCTCGCTATGCGTGGAATTCAAATGAGGGCAATTTTGACACTGAGCACTTTGACGAAAGTGATGATGAAAGCACTTGCAGCGGCAGCACAAGTGATTCGGGTGATGGGCCTGATGAAGCGGTAAGGCATAAATCTGAAAGTTGGTCTGGTCAGTCATAGACGAACTTTTTTTCAACTTCGAAACATGCTGCTTCGACCATGTGGCTGAAGTCACGTAGCCTTACGGCTCTTTCGTCCTTACTATCTTGACAGCACATGTTTTGTAACATTTTAGAAAATACAGATGTAGAAAAGGTGAATTTGGTCAGTGAGCAGTTAGTTTAGTGACGTATTGCATTTCACATTATGCTTAAACATATTCTTTTTGAAGCAAGAAGACGTTTGATAGTGACGAATTTACGATTTATCGACATAATCAACAATAAGTTGTGTTTGGATGTTGTGCTTGCCATTGAAATTCCCAAATATTGCTGTCCTATTTTAGAACCTTATTGTAGAGGTAGGTTTAATGTACTTATCAATTATTCGAAAGAAGACGGCATAAGCGTCCTTTTTTAGGCAGATGTAAGATTCCGACAACAATGGTTGTACATTGCTAGCGTTTGGCAACGCAAGATCAAACGTAAGTGTCCTTGGTAGACGATTTCTTAGTATCGAGAATATAGTGTCCAGGTTCTGAGCAGTCATATTGAAACTAATCTGATAAGCTTTGGTTCTGCAGACTGATGAATTTGGGGATATGGCTGAGTTTGAAAATTCGTCCTCCTGTAAATACACCTTTAGCAACTTCTCTTTTAAGGTGATTTTGTGAATTTTAATTACTTTTCTGGGTAAAGCCATGCTATGCATTCTACTGTTCCTCTAACCTGTCGTTACAGAGGTACATTTATTGTGTTCGGTTCTAGTTGCTAGTGAATCTACACTATTTTGTTTTGGTTCCACATGTATCGTGCATTATATTACTAGCTTATGGGATCCTTAAATAGATAAAGTTTCCTATATTATTATTAGGTGAATTTGAAGAATCTGATCATTCTGATATTCGTGTGTTTTGAATTGTGTTTGGCGGTTGAACAGAACTTATCTCAACTGGCATCTATTAATTATGATCTTCTTCAACAATCGGAAAGGCGGGATTCACCGCAGGGTCCCAGCTGACGTAAAAGATGGAAAAGAATACTCATTTCATGAGTATTTGAAGGTCCTTCGTTATCTGGGAGTTCTGGAAGGTGATCCATTACGGTTCCAGTGAGTTTTGACGATCAGAAGTATGTTCCTGTATATAGTTACTGCTCCAAAAAGTTCCTTGTACCATGCCATGTTCCATATTTGGTCGAAGTAGTGTCAACTTGAATTTGCCGCTGCAAGTTCTTCAATTTTGCTCTGTAGTCAAGCCCCATCATATTCTGGGATAAGGTGCTCCTTGGAATAGCTTTTCTTGGAAAGAGACTGATGTACATCACGAGAAAGGATCATGCTGTCGGTTTTGGTTGAGCCGACTGACATGGCGTACAATAGAAACATTCCATAACTGTAAAGTACTAGTTGGAGGGATTAGTGTTTCTATTATTTTTTCTGGAACCCGTGATGTTTTCATTTATCGCGCTTCCCGCCGTGGTTTCTTCTTCAACGGCCTAGATTTCTATTATGGATGTGATTGACGAAAATCTTAATCCCCAACAGTTATGTAACCAACTCGTACGAAGTCCGTGTGGATGTGCTGTAATCTCGAGAGTATAGACAACCATTGCAGCTCATCGATGTTCTCCAGTTGAAGTAATTTAATTAGATTCTAAAGCTGCGCAGTCTTGCATCATCATTTGACTTTAGACCACTATGAGTGCCACGGTTCTTGCGAGGTTACGCCAGGCGTGTGTACAATAATGCTTTCCTTTCAACTACATCAACGCACGCCTTCAGATCCAGGACACATTCTTGCAGAAACCTGCACAACTAGGCCCTACGATTCCTCCTATAAAGATGAGATCTAGAGATGAAGATGCTTCGCTACCTATGGTGGGTCCTGTGCCAGTGCCATGACGATCATTTTCGATGCTATCTTTTGCTACTCATCAAAGCTGGCTTGAGGACGTCTAGCTTTTGCTTTGGGAATGGAGTCAGTGACTGTTCACTGACAATTTGAAACAATACCAAAAAAGTCTAGCAAGCACATGGTCCATAGTTATTGCGAACCTTATCTCGAATGAGAGATAGTGCATCCTGCAAATTAGGCAGAAGCGATAACACGGGTTACACTCTTAACCCTCACGTCTCGTTTACCGAACCGCATCTGGTTCTGAGAAGTTTGGAGTTCACTGCAACAGTTAGAATCTAGCAGATCGCCTCGAAGGTTTGTGAGGTACAGAACGAGCTAATTGGCCAGTATTAGGCCACTTTTGCAGAACATGCTTCAATACAATACCAAAGAATGGTTCTCAAAGCTGGAGTTCACACGACTGGAGACCGGAGCAGGAGATGATCGCCAATTTCTTCAGAACCAGTTTTCCATAGCTCAGTATATACTCATAGGACTCGCTTTGATGGCTCAATTTGTTGGTCTGTTTCGAGTTGGAGTATTACCAGTTGAAACATCTTGTGAACCATCGAATCCTGTCTTTGGATGCACAGCAGCTTTGATTCGTGCTTGCCATTAAAGTCACTGGTTGTACAAGTCAATAGACAGGAGGAGCAGGTTCGTCAGAGCCTCTGAACCTCACAAACACCCAGACACGTCTTATTTTTGATTATGACCAAAAAAAATTCATTTCATCACCTTCAAACGTTTTCTTGCTTCAAAATGAATGTGTTTAAGCACAGCGAGACTTGAAATATGTCACTAAACTAACTGCTCACTGACCAAATTCAACTTCACTACATCTGTATTTTCTAAAATGTTACAAAACATGTGCTGTCAAGGACGAACGAGCCGTAAGGCTGCGTGACTTCAGTCACATGGTCGAGGTAGCATGTTTTGAAATTGAAAAAAAAGTTTGTTTCTGACTGACCGGACCAACTTTCAGATTTATGCCTTACTGCTTCTTCAAGCTCATCACCCGAATCACTTGTGCTGCCGCTGCAAGTGCTCGGTGTCAAAATTGCCCTCATTTGAATTCCAGGTATAGCGAGATGCAGAGTAGCTGGGATCATGCGCACCGTCAGGACTTGGAATAAATGCAGCCTGCAAAACAAACCAAGTTGTTATCCTGTGCTCAGCAATTGGCAAAACAACTAAGGCAGACCACCCATTTCTGATAACTTAGGCATTTCAGTATGTTTGCAATAAGTGTAAAAATAAAATAAAAATACCTCCATGTATGGAAGTAGAAATGAGGAGGATTTTAAGTGTTTTCATACAATTTGACCCAAAAATGAAATTTATATAAATGTTTTAGTTGAAGATTCTCTTTAATCCATTTTGGACATATAAGGCAATTCAATTCTGATCATAGGTAAACTTAATTTTGACCAATGGTGGATTACAAAACTGAGAATCCAACTTTTACAAAACCAAGAAGTGTGGCACTTAATTATTCTATTAAGAGAAGTGTGGTACTTAATTATACTATTATTCCATCTCAACCAATCAACAATTGCCACCTATTGATAATTCATGTATACCCATTCCAAATACAATGAATTTTATTTGTTATTCAAATTTCATCATCATTTTAACAAACCCCCGACTTCTTATCGATCAATGTGGATGTTAGATCTAGTTGTGAGACTAACAAAATTAGATAGGCCTATATGTTGGAAATGAGGACAAGAGGGTGGTTGACAATGGGTTGGCTATCTTAGTTTAGAAGCCAAATGAAGTAGCAAATGTAACAAAGAAACAAGTCTTACCTTCTATTTGACAAGAATATCCCAGTTTATTTCTTTGAAGTATGAGTGAGCTTTTTGAAGATTTTTACAAGCAAGATCTGAATTAAATGTAACATCATTAAAAGCATTGGAGCTAGAACTTTAAGAATAATGGAAGTCTCTAATTAAGATCATAAATCTATGAGAAAGTATTCAATGGATTAACTAATCTTTTAGTAATGCTATTTGTTAATTTTAACATACTTTGATCCTAAACATCTGATACAACCAAATGTTTGTAGACTGAGCATAATGGTCAATTTTTCAACACCTATTCTTATTTAATATTCTATTATTAATCTTGTTACAAAGTTCATATGATGATTGCAGATGGTAATTTGTGAGTCGGGTATAAGTGGAAGAGTTTTATAGTAATAAATGGAGTATTTGTAGAAGTTTGTAATTTTGTTGTAGAATATATCTCAATGAAGTGACGTTAGTTGTTAAAATATTGTCCAAATTTCTTTGTAAATATATCTACATGTTGTAGTTTGGTGACAATATATTTGAAAGAGATTTTTCTTGTAAAAATCCTTTCTTGTACAAAGTAATACTTTGCTTCAATGTGCTTAGTCCTTTGTAAAAATATTTGATTTTGAACAATATAATCTAAGTCTATATTATTGCACTTGAGATAAAAATTATATATCATAAAAATTTAAACTTTAAAAAAAGTAACTTAAATCAATTCATTTGATGAATATAGTGGTATCTTGGATAGAAATAAAATGTTTAATTAAGTGAGTAGCCTTCATAGTTAAATTGCTTCTTTGATAGCTTTTGAGAATTCCTTATATTCTATCTTTATAGTACTATAAAAAATAATTGATTGTTATTTGCTAAATTAGATAATAGATCCAAATGCAAACTAAAATACATAGCTAGAAGTAGAGTATGAAGTCTTAAGACAACTAAGTTTTAAGTGCAAGTTTTAAAGAATGCTTAAAATAAATTTTCAAATCATTTTTTTTTTTTTTTTTTTTTTTTTTTTTTAATATATTTTAGAATGTGCTTAATTGCTTCTAAAAGTTACTACTGTGGCTTAGCCACAAACCTAGTACCAATGTTTACTATATATAATAGGTTAGGTCTTGTATTAGTAAAGAATAATAGTTTATCAAGTATCCTATAATATTGAATGGTGTCAATTGGTGAGGTCTTTAAGTTGGAGTAAGTGATGAATTCTTCTAGTAGAAGAGTGTACAAAATTAAGCAATTTTCCATACCAAATGAATCCAATATTTCTAGGAAGTAAGAACTTTAGTGAAGTGACATCTCATTAGGCATGTATTTAATCTCAACTCCTAAGTATTTTTAAATTTTCCTTGGATTCTTCATCTTATACTTGTCTTGGAGATATAATTTGATTTTTGGCAATATAATTATTATCATTTGCAATAATGAAAAGACCATTAATACAAAGAAGAAGGATTGCAATAGAAACATCTTCAATAAAGTGATAGAGATTATGATTTAATTTGCTACATACCCAGTCAATGCTATGAAGTTACATATTAACTATTTAATATCTTATATAGAGTAATTACTTTAATCTATATATAAATCTAAATAATTTATTTATAAGGTGTAATAATCTTGATTCTTCAAATCTAGCTAGTTGATGCATGTACATTAATTCCTTAAGTATTCTATTAAAGAATGTAGTTACCACATTCATATGATTGAAGTTCTAATATTTTGAAATAACAAGTGGAATAATCCTCTTCAATGTAGACCATGTTATTATAGATGTAAATATATCATTATAATAAATACCTTAACATTGTTAAAATCTCGAGGTTATATGACAAGCTTTCACTTTAAACCTTATTGGATTGCATCTAATCTTTATTGATTTGGCCCTAAATACTAACTTTGATGAAATGACACATCTACTTGGTGGAGGCTCAATGAAGGCCCAAGTCTCATTTTTGATGAGAGAATCCAATTCTTTTTACATAGCCACTTTTTATGATGGATTATGGAGCCTCTTCAAACTTTACATCATAGCTCACATGATCAAATGTTTCTATAATATATATATATATGTCTGCATTATTAGAAATATTGAGATTGTAGTCTTCAAATTTTGTGAGAAGAATACTTTGTATGCTCCAAGTAGAACATTGTGTTGATTGAGTAGGATCAATGGATGCAATAAATGATGCAACTTTGGCTTATTTTAATTTATCCATATTATCCTTGCCTAATTGAATTTCAATTATACCTTCAATTTATCTATTTTCATGAATAATAGAGTTGTTTCTTTATCCAATTCTTGAACTTAAATTTTTAATTTTTTTTTAGAAGTAAAAAATTATTAAAGAAATTATTAAGAAATAAAAATAAAAAAAATTAATTGAGTGGTTTTAAAAGAAAGTTATATTTGGACTAATAAAGATGTTGGATGGAACTTAATCATAGTAAAAATATTCCTTTGTTTCAAAGTCACAACCAACAAATATATACTTAATTGCCTTAGCTTGTAGTTTGTATTAAACTTTTTGTGGTATATAAATATATGCACTACTTCCAAAAATTTGTAAGTATAAAATATTGTAATAATGTCTATATAATATTTCAAATAATAATTTATTAATGAAAATCCTAATAAGAAATCTATTAAGCATATAAGTTATATCATGCAAATTTTTAGTTTAAAGAAATGATGCAAATTTTTTATATAAAAAATACTTTTTGTTGCTTCCAACAATGTTGTATTCTTTTTCTTTGCAATGACATTTTGGTGTGGAGTTGATAGAGTCATGAATTGGTATTGAATCC